TATTACACACCATTTCATTATGAAGTTGTGATTTTGTTTTTACAATAATATTTTTTAATAATATTATTTTTTATAATAATATAGCATGTGTCAAACTCAAGGCCCGTGGGCCAAATCCAGCCCGCCATAACTATTTCTGTGGCTCTCTACACAGAGGGCCACAGAAACAGAACTTCAAGATAACAGTTGTGTGCTTCAATATTACTTTCTCAGTCAAATCAAATCAGTTTTTATGTTTATAATGCCAATTACTCAAACATAAAATATTTAATTTTTTTTAAATTATATATTTACCAGTTTGTTTATAGGGGGTTTTATCAATACATTCTTCCATGTCCAGCCTTTTGAGGAAATTCACGAGTTTGATGTGGCCCAAAATGAAAATGAGTTTGACACCCCTGCTTCTGTAGGATAATGTGAACAGGGTTGTCAGAGTTGCAATGAGTTTATGTTAGGTGGGTGAATGATCTGATCATCTGACTGTTGATTGTAATAATCCACATTATTAGTAGAAATAGAGGGCCCCATGGAGGCTTGGGCTGGCACTGGTCCAACAGCAGAGTACCCCTCGGGTTCAGAGCAGAGAATCCGTACCTCCCAATCATGCCCCTCCTGGTCACACTGTCATTACCCACGTGGTCATTGAAGTCCCCCAGCCAAATAAAGGAGTCCCCAGCTGGCGCACCTTCCAGCATCCCTGCCAAGGACTCCAAGAAGGCTGTATACTCTGAACTTCCTTTTGGTGCATAGGCACAAACAACAGTCATAACCTGTCCCCCCAAATCCAAAGGTGAAGGGAAGCCACCCTCTCATCTATCGGGGAAAACTCCAACACACAAACACCAAGTTGGGGGGGCTACAAGTAGACCCTCACCAGGTCGACGCCTCTCACCATGGGCAACTCCAGAGTGGAATAAGGTCCAGGCCCTCTCAAGGAGGTCGGTTCCAGAGCCCATGCTGTGCGTTGCGGTGAGCCCAATTATACCTAGTTGGTACCTCTCGCACAAGCTCAGTCTCCTTCCCCACCAGAGAGGTCATGTTCCATGCCCCAAGAGCCAGCTTTGGTAAGCCAGGGTCAGAGTGCCAAGGTCTCTGCCTTCAACCACTACCCATGGCATCATGCATCTGACTTTCATGGCCCTTCCTGCAGGTGGTGAGTCCATAGGAAGGCAAACCCATGCTGCTCCTCTGGGCTGAGCCCGACCGGGCCCCATAGGTAGAGACCTAGTCACCAGGTGCTCGCTGCCAAGCACCTCCCCCAGGCCTGGCTCCAGGGTGGGGCCCCAGTAACCCACGTCCGTGAAAGGGACACTGAGTTCCTTGTTTTTTCCTGTCCATAAAAGTCTTCTGAATCACTCTTTGTCTGGCCTGTCATGTAGGACCAATCTGCCTTGGGAGACCCTACCAGGGGCATTTATAATTGCCCCCGACAGCAAAGCTCCTAGGGTCATTCTGGTGCACAAACTCCTCCACCATGATATGGTGGCTATTCAAGGAGGAGAAAAAAATCCCAACATTTTTCATTATGCTTTGACTGCTTATATCGTTACTAACAGTCGGTGGATGCACGCAGCTGAATAAAAGGGGGCAGAAGATCGGAGCTGAGGGGGTGTTTGTCCTTTCATGGCCGTCAAAGCTCATCCCTACTTCTGCCTGCATTCTGCAGGCATTAAACCCTGCTCCAATGCTGCAAGCCTTGCTGCCCTTCCACTTGGTCTCTTGGACACATAAAACATCTACCTTCCTTCTCTGCATCATGTCAGCCAGCTCTCTACCTTTCCTTGCCATTGTTCCACATTTAGAATTGCAACCCTCAGTCCTACATTCTTGACTTTTATAAATTTTATTCATTTCATTTAAAAACATGACAGTAAAAAAAAACTAAACACACGAGATATACTT